CGGGCGGCTCGGCGCGCCTCGCCTCCTGCCGCTCTCCGCTGCGCGCAGGAACTCCTGCTTCGCCTGGCCCTGCAGCAACACACAATTGGCACGGGCTGAAGCTGGGCTCAACAAGATCTTTGTAATTCTGTCACGTATTCATCTAATTTAGTTTTTCATCACTTACCAGCTCCTACCGCTGAAAGCAACCATCTCCCAGCAGACTACTTTGAGTCAGCTGGGTTAACACCTCTCTAGGTAGGACATCCCGTCGACACAGATGCTTATACGTATTTTACAAAGGTTTCACACATCCACAAACTCTTTGTGCAAGGCAAATCGCCCTTGCCTTTTTCAACGACCATCTCTTCTGAGCCGTCTCTCATGCCGAGCCCTCCCTAGCACCCTCATTTGAAATGAGGCACAATGCAGATGTAGCGGTGAAGCCCTGAGGAAGAGATACAGCAAGTACAGCTTCCCACTCAATCCCCCAGGCCCCAAAAGGCGTTGTGCCTCTATACACTCATGTGCCATATCTCCTTGCACCTTCTTGGATCCACAGCTGGCAAGTGCCCTGTCTCCTACCGCAGTCCCCAGTTATTGCGCCAGCATTTTGAAGTAACTTTTCATTATTTGTTCCACTACTTTTTAAGAAAGGACAGTCCCAAAGCTCTTTGGCTATTGGCCTGTGCAGGCACTGAACGCTGAAGTGTCAATTAGCTGAATTCTCCTTTCTCAAAAAGCGCTGAAGTCATTGCTCAGGTATTTCAAGCAGTTATCCTGTGCCACCATCTGCGGGCGTGCTTCCCTCAACACGTAACTGAAGCTCACACCTTGAAACCCCGCAGCAAGGAGTCAGTGGAGGAGGGCTGCCTGCTGCCCGGCCTGGGGCATGGACATGGCTCGCTGGCAGCGCACCTGCGCCGCTCAGCCGTCACCAAGACCCTTCCCGGCAGGTGCGGCAAGGGACTGAGCTACGGTTGCCAAGGTTGCAGGTGGATAAGGGCTGGAGATCTGCAGAAAAGACCGTCTTCGCTCTGCTCTACCCCTCTGCCGATGGGCCCTGCTCCCACGCCGGAGACTGAGGAGCAGAACAGAGCGTGCATCCAGGCCACAGCGCCTGGGTGCAAAGTCAGCCTGCTCATCCCACCCTGCTGACGGGGCACATCCACGCGGGGCTGCGGCACCTTGCCGGAGGCAGAGGGAGGCGTGCACTCGCTCCTGCCCCTGTCCCCAGCTCCACTGTGGGGCAGCAGCTTCCCACCCCGGGGCGAGCAGACCG